AGTGTGGGGAGCAGAAGCCAGGCAGACATCTGCAGAGACTACTGGAGCTGCAGCCAGGGAACAGAAGGGAGGGGCCAACCCTGTTGTGAAGCAGAAATCCCCACCCAGTGCAGAGAGCATGCCGGGATGCTGGTGGTGTCTGGTTTATCTTAAACCAGCAAGGCATCTGGGACAAACATTGCATCAACCAGTTTGACCTAAATCAGTTAAGTCTGATACTCCATTCAACCAGGTTTTTCTCAAACTGGTTCATGTACACTGAACATCTGTTCTGTTTCAAGTTTAAACCCGTTTCTGATCACTTAAACCTGTTTATGTGTAATGTCAGTCCCTGGCCTAGAAGTCAAGTCATGAGCTCTCTCTTTACATGCCACTACTAACAGAAAAAAGATTCAGCAAACTGAGTTCTGCCCTCTGTGAAATCTGTACAACCTGTGTTGCCTTCATTGAGATTGCACAGATGGAAATGCTTGGCATTAAGTGAATGTTTCTGTTTGTGGCACCTGAGAAGGAATAGAAGCTACTCATTCTCTTAGTGGAGTTGTCTTTGGAGGGCTGAAAGGAGTCAAACAGAATCTAACCATCGGCCTGGGGATGGGGAAATCAGCCCAGCTGGGCTGACTTCCCATCCCAGGCACTAGATCAGGCCGGGGAGGGGGAGTCAGCCCAGTTTGACTGACTTCCCATCCCCGGCACTAGATCAGGGAGTACTTTTTTAAAACTGAAAATTGGGGATATTTTTAAATCAGAGAAAACCAGGATCCCTCCTTATCAGAGCAAATTGACTCCTGTACCAGTAAAAACCACCCCTGGGTAGAAGAGGAGCAGAAAATTCACAAGGAGGGCCTGGTGACGCTACAAAGACTCTCAAGCTTCCCTCCAATGGAGACTTGCAGCCAGCCCGCCCCAGGGACAGGTTGTAAAAAGGGCAGCCATAGGATTCAGTACACCTCAGTACCTCTTTGATTCATATTTGGCCCCTATTCCAAGAAGCTTGGGTCTCACCTGAATCACCATGAAGTGCTGTGAGCCCAGCTGCCCCATGAGATCCAGATTCTGTGCTAGCAGGGGGCAGCTTTAGCCCCTGTTTAAGTTTGCAAATGACGCATCCTTTATTTATTGAAATGTGTTCCCTGCATGAATTCCAGGTGCATTAGCTAATTAAGAAGGAGAGTTTCAATATAATAGTAGAGATTCCAACCACATTTGTTAATCATAAAACAAAAGATACCTTTCATACTACCTGCTTAGCCCAGCTCCCACTTTCTTGTGATCAACCAACCCGCCCCTTCCACAGCAAAATCTTGGACTAATTTAGACAGTAAAATTGAAACTCCTTCATGAACAACCATGATTGCTCATGTCAGCCTGTATTCCTCTTATCCACTAAGCACTGGTTACGCTTGCCAACTGTATTCTGTTTCAACAAAATACCTCAGGAATATTTCACAGCAGAATATGTGGTGCTAACTGGATTTCTGCATTAGGTAGATTAAAACCAAATGGTGTCATCTGTGTTTGCAGGAAACAGGAGAATGTACAGCTGAAGTTTACATTGACAAGGCTCAGAAAATCAGTAATGTTTCACAGGAATGTAAAATCATCTCAGGTATGTTACAGTTCAGGGGGACTTTAGATAAGTAAAGAGTAAAACAAACCAAAAAAGAACAAGAGATGACAAGACAACCTATATTGAGATTTTTTTGGTAATTTTAAAGAAAGGAGCATTGCATCATTCTATTCAGAACCTCTTAAATCATTTATCATGGGCCACCATACATTAAAAATTAAATTCTGCTCTTCCTTCTTATGCATGTATTTGCCGTGTCAATGGTACACCAGCAGATTATTAGTAAAAAAATTGGTTTTGTGTAAAGAAACCAAAAGCATCTGACCAACGTACCTCTGAAACCCTTAGATCTCTACCAAATCAAAAAGGATTTTCACTGGACTAAAGGCACATCTATGACCTAGGGATTGGCTTCCCTGTTGTCAAATTTTAAGTTTATTTCGCAAGTACTGAAATGATAAGAATTTTTGTTGCATGACAAAATTGTAGTTTTTCATTGTCTTCCAGTTCATAAAGGGCTGTGCTCATTTTACTGAAACTTGCCACAAAAAGAGGCTTCACAGAGCGAAAAAAATGAAAAAATGTATCCTCCAGCATAAATGTCTGACAATGGTAGAATCATCAAAAGATGGTGAAATCATCTGAAAAAGGCCTTTTCAAAGGGCCTTGATTAGTCCACTTGATTGGCATTACACTGTCTGCTTATAATCTACACATCCAGATGGATATCCACAGAATGCCTCTGGAATACATGCCCTTATTGGAAAAGAGTTACCAGGCTTGAATGCATCAGAGCTGGGGTTCTTTCTTTAAGTATCCAGAGGGATGTTCACACTGCAGTCATGGCTGTGATTGCAGCTAATAAACTTTAGGGACTGCTACCAATGCAGCTGCAGCAGTGCAGAGCTCAGAGTAGACTACCCAGCCAAGTACATACGTGTTTTGCAGCTTACCCTGAGCCCCATGGGACTGTGGCTATACTGCTAGCAATACCCAAGCCAGCTAGTTTAAAGCTAGCTTCAGTGTGTACAGTGATTGCAGGATAGACAATCTCCAGGTTTTACTGCCAACTAAATCCTATTTGATTTCAGATGCATTTGCAGGGCAATGGTGACATCTAGGTGCCAGTAAAGTTAATGAGAAGTATGTGTATTCCATAATGAGAGGTAGGTGTGTTCCACAGAGGAGTCAAGTGGGGTATGCATTTGAGTCGTCACTTGGAAAAATAAAATATAAATTTTAAATCAATATCTTAGCCAGGCAGCATGAGAAGCAGAGTTCTTTTACCAACTTGAGGAAAAAATGTACAAGTTGGTTCACAGCTCATGAAAAGAATTAAAACCATAGCCTCTTTAGAACAGGATGCACTCTGTGTCTTGCTCTGTCTGGTTTCTGACTGCTCACTGCAAACAGGAGTGTGGAGGTTTTTTTGTGATGAATACAACTGCTTCGCCATGCCACTGGTGGGCAAGAATCTGAAGGGTCAGATTCTGCTCTACTACTCTTACATAAAGCATAAGTAACTATAACATGTGTGCTGGAGTTAAACCACATTGGCATTAAGAGCAGAATCTCATCCAAAGATTCCTGTGGAAAGAGG